ATTAGAAAATTCAATGCAATTCTACGCTTACATGAATGAAAGTATTTTTATTAATCAATTCATTGATTACAAGTAATTAGTTTACAATAATTGGTTGTGAGATATAGTTTCGATGACATTATTCGGGCGAGTCTTCGGCCAACAGGTGTTTGAGAGCGCGGGTAGTGTTGACTAATTTAATCCAACGGATCACTCGATTCAAGTCAATGGACACAAACATGTGATACATGAATAAAATGACCAAAACTATCAAAACAATTTTCACCACAATATTCACCATTATTTTTGGGATTTTTTATTTCAATATATTTTTGGTTTACTGATTGAGAAAAGTAGTCACAAATGAAACTAATTTTCTAAGAGTTCTTTGAGATCTGAATACTATTGACGCGGAAATGACTTTATAATAGACTATAGTTTGAGTTCATTTGACGCGAAGATCAGCTATGGGTTGACCTCAAGAACCGAAGACTCACTCAATGACTTGAAATTTACATCAATTCATAAGACAATCGCATCAATGAATGAGTAATAAAAGTATATTTTTGGGATCAGATTAGCATTTCAGAGAAAATAGTTTGCATTCAATTCATACGATTTGAAAATAGTGTACAAAAGTGTCCAATCATTCAATACAAATAACCATTCATTCAATTGTGAGACAATTATTGGGAAAATAAATATTAAATCAGAAAATTGGATCCAAATATAGATTTAACGTAAGACTAAATGCTATGACTCTAAGACTTCTTGTCCCGCAAGTCTTGGTATTGTTTGGAAGTGATTGTCTTCATCGTGAAGGCGTGTATAGTCTGGAGTTCAGTGGCCAGGATCTGATTGACCATCCGGTGTCTGCCTAAGAGGGGAATGCCTTCAAACTTGTCCGACACTATCAATGCGTTAAACTTAGCGCCACAACCGTCGGACATGTCCTCGACTTCCTGTCAAAGACATCACACAATGAGTGGCCAATGAATGGCTTAACAGTAAGCGAAAGACAGACCAAATGTGTTGTCTGTAACTCTTGCTTCAGTTTGTCGGTTATGTATTGAACGGTATATGAAGACATGGCTGCAGATAATGCGCTCAAGAAGTGGTGCAATGAGTGGACGACTGTGTGATTGAACGGCAAGTGAGCGATGAATGCAAAGCAATAAACATGTGATCCGTTGGTTGTGTAGCGTTTGTGCAGTCAATACGTCTTACTCTCGCTATTCACTGCACAACACATGCATTCATATCAAGCCTATTGTCATATGAGACGAGACTATAAGCCAATGATATGTTAATTAGTTATGAATTATACGGCATTTCGATAATATATTATCTCAACCCTTTATACAGGATTTGTGGTATAAATATGTATTGATATGAACGCATATGTGTGTGCAGTGTATGTGTGTCTGTAATGTATATTAAAGCGATAGTGAGTCACAAGAGTTGATAGAAAGCACATGACTTACAGTAAGTACTGAAATGAAAGGCATTTGTTTGGCAGTGTTTACAGTGTTATTGCGTATGGAGTGTGGGGTCGATGTGAGCGCCGCCACTGTGGAGGCTATACTGCAGTGAGTGTTAGTGCGAGTGGAGTGACAGACAGACATAGACTGGCAGTGAGTGCACACCAAACCAACACAACTGTCCGTACGATACACTCCGACAAGCATTTGGTACGACTGTCCCACCAGTGAGTGTCAGACAATGGCACACTTGGATCTACTGGACCTACAGGTGCCCCGATGGACACCGCTATGAGTCCATCGCCTCACACCCAGTGCTGTGAGGGGTCGCCGATGGCCACCACATCCGCCACCGATATGTTGAATGTATGGCCAAAAGTGGGCGTCTTTTTGATGAACAGTTGCGGTCAATGCGGGTATCAGTGGTTGCCTCAGACTATACGCCACAAAGTACTCGACATCATCACCAAACAGCACATCCATCACCGCAAACACCACCACAACGCACACCATCACAACCCAGATGGCAATGAGGACAACAACCGCACCATCGAGTCGACCATCTATGAGATGATCTTCGGATCAGTTGCCCTCAACTTTTGTGCCCAAAACTCATCGAAAATTCATCGCTTAAGCGATGATCTACTCATGACTTCATTCATCTTTCAGATCGACTTCTCCAATGGTATGCCATTTGTCTACTCTTTCCCTCATTTCTCGCATTTTTTTGTTTGTTTTGTTTCTCGCATTTTGTTTGTCTTTTTCGGGCAAACCCTCAATCTATCCATACATCTCTCTCTCTCTCTCTCTCTCACTCACTCTCTCTCTCACACACACTCACTCGCACACACTTTAATTGACGCCAATTATTGACACTTAAGTCTAAAAACAGTTAATTAATTGAGAAATGTTTGGATAATTAATTAGTTTTTTAGTGTAAAATACTTTTCCGCATACAATGTGTTAAAAAGTTGAGCATAGATTGAGTGCATGTATTATATAATATTATTTTTAGTTTTAGTTTGGAAAATATGCTGAAAATGAGTCGACTGTTCATATGATAGTGATTTGATTATTAACTTTGAAGTGATCAGTACAGCAGTGGTGTTGATATCATAAGACACGGATAGAAGTGTTTCTCTTAAGTGTTTATAATATTTATAAAAGTTTACGAAAAGCGTTGATAAAGACATGAGAGTTGGATGTGAAATATATCGTGAAAAGCATTGATTACAGAGCTGTGTATATTTGGTGATTAAAAATAGCCGTTAAATGTACGGCAAAAGTCTAATCTGATGGTTATGGTGGCTATACATGTATAGTAATAGTTAGATGAATGCAAGTCATAAGAATCGCGTCTAATATTACATAACTCTTTACATTACATATTGAATAATAAGGCAATGAATGAATGAAATGAAAGCATGAATTCCTCCGCAAATTGCATTCAACACAACACTTGACTCAATACGTCATTTAAACTCGTATTTAATTTTGTGGTCTCTTTTATATGACGTTTTTGTCTCATTTATACCGTATTATACGCTATGATATACAGTGTAATGCGTTCAGTTATCATATGATATAATAATGGCTTTAAATTTTGGCAACTCATGTAGACACGATCTTAGACACTGTAAAAATAACACAATTGTCTCAAGATTTATAGGAAAAAGCGTATTAACTCTCTCTCTCTCTCTCTCTCTCTCTCAATCTCTCTCTCTCTCTCTCTCTCTCTCTTAATTGCGACAATTTGTTGGTTTTTTGTCTTATACTGTATGTCGTGCTGTGAATTAAATCACATATTTTTATATTTTTACATAACTGTGTTGTGAAACATATTTTTTGGTGGCATTATTTATAAAAGTATTTATTTTGTTTTTATGAATTCCTTTCACAACACGATTTAGTGTTTTTTAGAAATTCTTGTGATAAATATTTTTAGTTCATAACTGTGTTGTGAAACATATTTTTTGGTGGCATTATTTATAAAAGTATTTATTTTGTTTTTATGAATTCCTTTCACAACACGATTTAGTGTTTTTTAGAAATTCTTGTGATAAATATTTTTAGTGAAACTTTGGAAAACATTCACTTTTTTCTGTGGTTATATTTTTTTGATAAATATTTTGATGAAAACAAATTCAAAATAGTGTAAATGTATATTTCAATATTTAGTCTATAATTTCTATACTTTTTATAAAGTTTGCATTGAATGTGGTTTTTGTTTTGTTGATTGTCTGAGACATGAGATCTCTGTCATAATAACGGCTCGAAAGCCACCAAATTTTAATAGCTTTTGCGATGACTGGAGTGTTATTTGTTTTGTTGTTTATACTTACCATTTAACAGCACTATTGAAAGTAAGGCACAAATGTGAAAATCATTCAAACACTTATTTTTGCAAAATTACTACTCAGTTATGAAGTTATAAATAATATTCTCGAAAGCTATTGATCTATCGATAAGTCCAATGCTATTCACAATTATATTGTTTTTCATATGCTATGCACTTCTAATCACGAGTTTTATTTTTCTCGTAAATATTTATTCAGACGTTTGACTAAAATATTTATCATATATTAACAAATACTACATTTTAATGATAGCTTTTATTTAATGCGTTTAATAACAGCGAGTTTTGTTCAGATATATCTCGACTATTTAATTGTAAGTTTTTATTAAACATTAAAACTTATATATACATCAAATAGAAGTGTTTTAATAAATATTTATCTCGTTTTTCATTGAAACCATTATTTAATTTAGTTTTTATCAGTCATTACTTTGAATCAAAGGTTCAAATGTTAACTTTGTTTTGCAATTCATTATAATTTGTGCCGTATCTATGAAAATGATTTAACTTTTGAAAACATTAAAAACTTATTTTTAAATTAATTCTCATATTGATTGCGATTACCAGTACTGATATTTATTTTCAGTACTACTATCCTATTCCCACCGATGCTCGTACTGTACAAGTGAGCACTTCTTCCCTAACGATATATCTTAAGACTCTTATGATACGAAACCGTTAGGACACCCACACAACTGATAGGCACACAAACACTGGATTTTACATTTATATGACAACATATAAAACAATTATTTTTTATTTCACTTCATTAGAAAACGAGATTTATTTCTATAATTGATATGTAATTTGAATTTTTCGTGGAATTTATTTTGATTTTTGTTATGAAAGACATCTCCAAGTGTTGTGTCAATTATGAGCGCAAATGAATCGGCGATTTGTATATAAAGCCGACATTTAGTAATTAAAATTAGAGACTTAAGTCGGGATAAACAGGAAAACTTTGAATTTGATGGCATTGTATGTATTATCGCTTTTGAAAATTCATTCATAGTCTTATGTTTCATTGAAACGTTGAACTCTTTTGGGACAAAGATAGCGATCTTTTTACATATAATCCTTGCTCTCAATTCATTCACCATTCGCTTGCAATTGAAATATGATTTTCAATTAAAATAAATAAACGTATAAAACATTTGAGGTCTGGTTTTTAATGTAATTGTTTACAGAGAATGGCTTTTTCTAATTACACACAAATTGTTTGCATGAATGGGGTTTACCCGTGATTTTCACATCACATGCTTAACTCACTTGATTTGATTATGCCGTAAGACTATGATATAACTACTGATAGACGTGTCATAAAAACGTTGATTAAGTTTTTTGTATTGTTATTATAAGGAATACAGTCTATGCTCTATAAGTGTTTCCAAAATATCGTCTTTTCTATTACAGTACAGTATATAATTGTCTGTATAAATCGTATGCATTCTTAGTCACATATTCATTTAAAATGATATAAATTGCAATTAAATGTAATTATGTTTTGTTGCGAATTATAGGGCGAATAATACACAAGAAATACGGTTTAGCCATCATTTGGAGTATAGGTGAATGTGACGGACAGTTGAGACAATTGATACTTAAAGAGACACTTATTATGGACGCATTGATTAATGAACTCAGAAATGAATTAATCGAGAGTCGGTTAAAGAGTCCGAAACACATTCACACAAGTGTTACAAAATTGATGAAATCAGTCAACGATTACCTGTCGGTGTGTCGACTGACTTCACGCATAAGTGATGACCAATTCATCGACGAATTAATAGCACTCATCAATGGTTTCGACACAAAGAGCACACACTTCTTCGTCTCTCATCTGTTGACATCAATCCTTATGTTTAAATACAAAGCAAATAAAATGAAACTTATTTTATGGTCTAATGATGTAAATAAGGTATCATTCGTATCGCAGCTCCTAATAGTCATCAATCAGTTCCTGAGACCCAACACACAGACCATAAGTTATTTGACGCCACAAATGAAGTCAATTAAGTTTTGCCATAACTTTGATGCAATGAAGAGGACCTCATCGGTCACTCCGATCACCAAAAGCATCATAAGTGAGCGAAAGAGTCGCGACGAGAGTCTCGGCTACGAAAGCCTGACAGAGAGCGGCTCCACAACCACTTCCACTATCTGTGATTACAACGGCTTCGCACCCAAATCCATGGACACATCCACACCACTCGAACAGTCATTGGAGCAGTCGGTCGATGCAATCGATACCGAACTGGAACTCCCGGTTGACCCCAACGATGACTCCATGCAAACGCCCTCATCGTCTCAATCATCGTCTCAATTGATTCAATCGAAGAACTATTTCCGCGAATATCGTAACCTTAGGTTCACTTCCGACGGCATATTCGACGACTGCACCGATGAAGAAGACATCCATTCACTCGATTCTTCCGATAATTGTCTTACAAATGGAGACAAATACAGCTATTGTCTTATGAATGGTGTGAACGATGACGACGACTTTGGAAGCGATGCCGTCACTGATGTCGAAGAGATTCGTGAGTCGCACGTAGTGTCGGGTTTTGGGGAGATATCAATGCCTCAACTTATAGCCGATGTGAGCGCTCACACCAATGAGATATCGTTATCACAATCGCCGACAATATCGGACACATATTTAAGTCAAATATCTATTCAGGGAATCATTAACTCGAAGACTATTGGCTCATACGATGAGTTAATAGCAGAATGTCTTCGGAAGTCTACGAATGACTTAAACGATAACACAGTTATTGTCTGCGATTGTGATTTATGGCGAATCCATTACATCGAGAGCTCCCGCTCTCAACCGGCAATCATGAGCTCATCTGTGGGACAGTTGTGCGAAACTATCGCTCAATTGTCTGCCATTCAAATGAATTCACAATTTATTATGAGATTCATTGACAACAAAATCAATGAATTGATTGATAAGTCAATAGTTCTCAAGAGTTTGGTTGAGAGTAATTGTGTCGATAATCGTAACAAACAAAACTGCATTAAACTATTCAATAGAGACTCTAAACAATCGCTACATTCTCTCATTACAAACAACTATTTGAATGACTTCTCGACAAACGATTGTCTCAAACTTGGTTTCGATGTCTCAGATATTCCAGTCATTATAGCACTGAACAGACATTCTTTACTCAATAATTACAATCACTTCAGACATTGCGACCGAACACACGAAACCCGTTTTGTCGAAACATTTCTGTGATATTATTTTAATACCAATAATCCAATCAAAACTAACCGTCAGTTACCCGCACCTACACAACAGATACACGTTTTAATGGATTTTAAATCGCAATTTAAAACAGATTTCTAAGCAATTGATGTGTTTTTGTCGTAATGTGTTTTCAAATCTAATCAATTTATTAATTCTCTGTCTCTTAGACGTAAAAATTATTTATACTTTATTTGTAGCGATTTGAATGAAAATCGTTTATTTTTTGGGATTAATTAAGTATATAATTAATAGCATAGAAGCATTTTAGTTGAAGTCATTATATTTAATTTATATAATATTTACATATTTTTAAATTTTATTCCGAAATCATAAACTAAATTATACAACAAAATTAATGGGAAAATAATTCTTAAATTTGAATAATAAAACTTTTAAATAACAAACATGTTTGTTAACCATAACTAATTATCTATAAATTGATTAGATTTTAAAAGTTTTTCTGTTAAAAAGTGTTGGAGTTATTGAATATTTGCTTCAATTATAAATTAATTCTTTGGAAATATATATAAATAAATGAAAATCACTATAAATTCAAAAATACAAATGTAAATATGAATAATTTATTAAATGATTTCTAAAGAGTCATAACTGTGTTGTGAAACATATTTTTTGGTGGCATTATTTATAAAAGTATTTATTTTGTTTTTATGAATTCCTTTCACAACACGATTTAGTGTTTTTTAGAAATTCTTGTGATAAATATTTTTAGTCAAACTTTGGAAAACATTCACTTTTTTCTGTGGTTATATTTTTTTGATAAATATTTTGATGAAAACAAATTCAAAATAGTGTAAAATAGTGTATTTAAATATTTAGTCTATAATTTCTATACTTTTTTATAAAGTTTGCATTGAATGTGGTTTTTGTTTTGTTGATTGTCTGAGACATGAGATCTCTGTCATAATAACGGCTTGAATATTATGCCACCAAATTTGAATAGCTTTTGCGATGACTGGAGTGTTATTTGTTTTGTTGTTTATACTTACCATTTAACAGCACTATTGAAAGTAAGGCACAAATGTTAAAATGATTCAAACACTTATTTTTGCAAAATTACAACTCAGTTATTAAGTTATAAATAATATTCTCGAAAGCTATTGATCTATCGATAAGTCCAATGCTATTCGCAATTATATTGTTTTCATATGCTATGCACTTCTAATCACGAGTTTTATTTTTCTCGTAAATATTTATTCAGACGTTTGACTAAAATATTTATCATATATTAAATATATTAACAAATACTACATTTTAATGATAGCTTTTATTTAATGCGTTTAATAACAGCGAGTTTTGTATTTAATTGTAAGTTTTTATTAAACATTAAAACTTATATATACATCAAATAGAAGTGTTTTAATAAATATTTATCTCGTTTTTCATTGAAACCATTATTTAATTTAGTTTTTATCAGTCATTACTTTGAATCAAAGGTTCAAATGTTAACTTTGTTTTGCAATTCACTATAATTTGTGCCGTATCTATGAAAATGATTTAACTTTTGAAAACATTAAAAACTTATTTTTAAATTAATTCTCATGTTGATTGCGATTACCAGTGAATTATGTATTTATTTTCAGTACTACTATCCTATTCCCACCGATACTCGTACCACCGATACTGAGCACTTTTTCCCTAACGATATATCTTAAGACTCTTATGATACGGAACAGTTAGGACACCCACACAACTGATAGGCACACAAACACTGGATTTTACATTTATATGACAACATATAAAACAATTAGTTTTTATTTCATTTCATTAGAAAACGAGATTTATTTCTATAATTGATATGTAATTTGAATTTTTCGTAGAATTTATTTTGATTTTTGTTATGAAAGACATCTCCAAGTGTTGTGTCAATTATGAGCGCAAATGAATCGGCGATTTGTATATAAAGCCGACATTTAGTAATTAAAAGTAGAGACTTAAGTCGGGATAAACAGGAAAACATTGTATGTATTGTCGCTTTTGAAAATTCATTCATAGTCTTATGTTTCATCGAAACGTTGAACTCTTTTGGGACTAAGATAGCGATCTTTTTTCATATAATCCTTGCTCTCAATTCATTCACCATTCGCTTGCAATTGAAATATGATTTTCAATTAAAATAAATAAACGTATAAACCATTTGAGGTCTGGTTTTTAATGTAATTGTTTACAGAGAATGGCTTTTTCTAATTACACACAAATTGTTTGCATGAATGGGGTTTACCCGTGATTTTCACATCACATGCTTAACTCACTTGATTTGA